CATCTCCTCCATGTATTTGAATGGGACATACGGAAATTCTGCTATTCTTTATTGAAAAAAATTCCGTCAACATCGGATTCAAACGGCAAAAGGGCCTACAACACACACCAGTCGACAAATATTAACATTTATTATATTTTATGGTTAACTTTTTTTTTTCTTTTCAAGATTGACAGGGGAGGCTCTGCCTCACCTGCTTCCCCTGACCGCACGTCACTGTTCATTACCTGTGTTTACTAAAATGCCAGAACAAGATGCATCATTTCTGGGGAACAATATTATCCATCTCCAGACAGACACATACAAACACACATGCAAAGCGGGACCGCATGTGCATATTTCCACTCTTATGAATAATTGAGGAGCCCTGTCTTGTGTAGTTGAGCAGACGCTGACTAGGCACACAGGATGTCAGTCTTAAGTACTGTGACAAAATGGTGTGGCATGAAAAGTGACATTTATGGCATACTGAAGCTAAAACATATTGTCAGGCTACTTAACAGTCATGTGCCACAAAGCAGGCCGGCACATACACCATCACTTCAGGCAGAACTCCTATAGGTGTTTGAGTGAGAGCTAAAAAATGTTAATTTAATGCAAATCAAGGTGTGACTTGGTTCCGTCTGCTTGCTCTTACATTATATGAATAATTGAAACATATAATGGGGGATCTAATGTGTTCTTTTATTTGCAGAGTCACGCCTGTGCTTTCTGATATGCTAATGAGTATCCCCTTGAGTAATTGAGCTGTGATTTAGAACATCAGCCCAGGCCTAATGGTGCATTGTCTGGAGGATGATCAAAAAGTAGCAGAGACGAGGATGTGATGTTCTCTGATCTGCAGATGACACTGATAATGAGGCACTTGAAGGAGTCTTGTGCCACGATGGACACTGCAGCCATTTTAGTCACATATGCACCAAGAAAACCAATCAAATCTCATTTCTAAATTTGCTTCTCAGCTCTTATTTTTTTTTTCTTCATCTCTTTGGTTGTTTATCCCTCCCCCCCCCCCCCCCCTTTGACCCTCAACCCCAAACCATTACAGCCCACTCCAGACTGAGCACTGCAGCCTCTTTGCCACTCCACCCCTCATCATCTCTGCTTCTTGCTTGAGGGTTTCTAAATCCGGAACATCTGACATACTCGCCACCTACTCATATGTCTCTCTGCAAATCCCTGTGACCTCGATCGTCCCTCTTTCATTTCAACCGTCTTCTGCTCCCGTTAGGGGTCGCCACAGTGAATCATCAGTTGCCACCCAACTGACGATTCACATTCTAAACTTGGCATGTTTTACGCCGGATGCCCTTCCAGATGAAATCTAAATTAGAGTCGCCAATCAACCTAACCTACATGTCTTTGGATGGTAGGAGGAAACTGGAGCACCTGGAGAAAACGCACACAGGCAAAGGGAGAACATGCAAACTCCGCACAGAGAGGCACCAGGTCGGCTGGGGCTCAAATCCGGAACCTTGCTGTGAGGCAACAGCGCTAACCACTGCTCCAACGTGCCCCCTCTTTCATTTCAATAATGTACATATTAATCTTTCTATAATACTTTATAGCTGCTCCATGTTCAAACACAAGCCATGGCCACATGTACACACAAATAATGCCAACAAAAGACAGCTGCAGATCAAAGCTTGGCAACAGCTGTGTTCCATTGTCTAACTGGGAGCTGACTGACATTTGAAGCCAGCGATGGCTGCCTTTAAACGCTTCTATTCTTTCTCTCGCCTTCCCATTTATTTTCTCCGTCCGTCCGTCCCTTTTTGTCCTCCACCACCCAACACTTCTCATTCCTGTGATGTTTTGGGTTTCGCTGAGGTCTGCCTGGATACCGCAGTGTCTCAGATTCTCACACAGTAACCGAGGAAGCACAGAATATGCTCCTTATGTGCCTTCCACAGAAGGCAGACACTCAGTCCAACCACTTCTTTATCAAAAAGGTGGTGGAGATACACTTGGCACTGTTTTGCATCCCTTGCCTCCACCCTGTCTTTTTCTAGTGTATCTATCAAGTCCTTCATTTCCCAGAAAGGAGCCCAGGATTTATGAGTGCATGAGCTGCTGGGAGCGACATCTCCAGAGAAGGATGTGTTTCCTGCAAACAGTTGGGAGAGGGAGGGGAGGGAGGTTCCGGTGTTGTGTGTGTGTGTGTGTGTGTGTGTGTGTGTGTTGATGGGTCCCATACAAACACTATCCAGTAACACGTCATCAAGGGGACGTAGGCTGTATGTGTGTCTTTCAGAGAAAAAGGCCCCGGGGCCTGTAGAACTGTGATTGACAGTCACCTCTGCTGATTACTGTCCCTCAGGGAGAGACGCTGCATGACAGCTGCTGCTTCAAACTTCCCCTAAATTGTTGCTAACTTCAGGTTGACTAAATATGTCCAAACCTGCATCGTCAGCTTAAGCATAGTATCCAAATCCTCCTGCACTTGTTTCAAGCAACACACAAGACAGAAACCTGACACAAAAGGACTGCACATTCTGCTGAACTGACACGTATTTGTGAAGTAACAGAGCCCTTCATCATCACTCTCTCTTTATCCTCCACCGCTGGGAGTGGACGTGAGGAGTAACAGTGACTTCATGGTGAGTTGTGTAACAGCGTAGGGTGAGGTTTGAAAATCAAGCCATGTGACACAAACAAAAGTGCTGATGCACCAAAAAGAGAGCCAGTGTTTCTGGAGGCATGCAGATACTCGCCCACCCCCAGCAGAAGTCAGACATCAGCAGAGTCAGAGAGGACATGGACTCATTGGGGCTGTGTGGACAGTGTGTGGTAAGTGTGTGTGTATGTGTGTGTGTATGTGTGGGGTTAGGTTTTGAGGGTGAATCTATTCCAGTAGAGAGAGAAAGGTCACAGTGTAAGCTGATAAAGGCAGAAGGCAGAACTTGGGACTGCTTCCAGGCCAGCTAGTCAGCTGACGCCTGCAGCTGTGTTTGGAACATCAATATGAGCCCCCCCCCCCCCCCCGCGCCGTTGCTCTCTTACACCCTTCCTCTCCTGCACACTCTGCATCCTCTCTCACCCCTCCCCTACTCCCCCCATGCTGTTTCCTCTTTTTTTTTCTCTAGCTCTGATTTATGAAAGTAGGGCATGTGCCCATAACTGCTGCATCAAGGCACATGGCTGAGCCTCCAGAGGCTCTAAGGCTCTGTTTACATCAGCCCAGACAACTGCACCACATTGCACAATCACCAAAAGTGAACTCTGTTATATAAAGCATGGGGCCATGTTGGCTCAGTTGTTTTTGTTTTTCCGTTTCGCCATCTCCACCTGTAATTCCTGAACTGCACAAGTCAGTACAAACACATCATCTTCTGATCTATGACGTCACTGAATTTACCCTTTAGCCGAGGACTGAATTTGTTAGTCATGCACAGATTTTCACACTTCTCAGTTGCCAGGCTGATGTGGTGGAAAATTCATCAAGCATATTAGGATCAAGTGGCTAGGGAATGATTACAGGAACCTCAATCGCTGTTTATTTTTGTGACGTTTGTTGCTTTCAGCTATTTCTCTCATCCCTGTGCAGGATTTTAGGGGCTTTGTGGCGGAATTTTATTGTTGAGAAGCACTGGAGCATGAGAATATTATAATAGAGAGAGCTACAAATGCTGTGTTTTCAGCATCGAATACGAGTCTGACAGAATGCATGTTTGTATGGGGATGACAATTACTCCCAAATGAAGCACCACGGCACTTCATGATCAGTTTCCATGGCAACAAATCAGACTGCTCAGCCAGGGGAAGACACAAAAAATGTGTTCTTAATGAGCATGAACAAAAGCATTTGAGCCAGAGACATTAGTGATATGACAGTGAAATTGCACGATCATGTGAGTATGAAGAAGATTTAAGGTTTGGTTGAGATGATTCATCAGAGTATCTGTGTGAATGAAC